GTACCCTAGGCATTTGTGAAAACTTATCAATGATATGATGGATATTGTCTAACTGAATTTGAATAGTTTGAGAAAAATCAGACAAATTAAAACAACACATTCCTGGGAACTGTTCACATCCCATATGTTCTTTTAACAGTAGATAGTCTATAGTCGCATGATTTTGGAGCACTGCAACTTGCACTTCTCCTAATTCTTGGTTGAGTTCCGACAGTATAGATCCAGTCAAATTTGTTGTTTTACTGTATGCACAGGCCAGCTTAGATATCTCCTTCTACATTCCAATGGCAAGTCCAGGAACCAGTGGGATGAATGCAGCTACAACTGCAACAGTGCCAGGATCTTTGTTGAAGTTTTTTGATGATCATGAAGATGGCTTCATTCTACAGTATATAAATTATACACCAATAAAATTGTTATAACTGTAAAAAAAACCCAAAGAAAACAAAAATGCTCTTGGAAATTAAAGACATGACAATCTAAACACATGAAAGTTTAACAGAGTCGGAAGTCAAAATATGAGAACTTATGCCAAAAGTAGAACAGTTGGAGGAAGAAATAGAAAATAATGGTGGGTAAATCCAGAAAGTCTGACATATTCAACGACCAGGAATCACACAAACAGGGGAGAAAACAAAGAAGAAAGTAGCAAAAAATTATATAAGAAAAATTTTTAGAACTGGGTTGTGGGAAGCATTGTTCCCTATATTGAAAGGAGGCATGGGATGCCGTGAACAATACATGAAAACTTACACCACGGATCAGAATTGTGAATTTGAGATCACCAGGGATAAAAAGATTGTAAAAGATTCCAGAGGACGAAATTACACTTTTAGAGACAAAAACAAAACAAAAAAGGGAGACAGTGTTATGAGCTGAATTGTGTCCTCCCAAAATCCAGTTGTTGAAGCCCTAACCCTTTATTTCAGAATGCGATTGGATTTGGAGACAGAAGCCTTAAAGAGGCAATTAAGTAAAAACAAGGTCTTTAGGGTGAGCCCTAATCCAGTATGACTGGTGTCCTTCTAAGAAGAGATTAGGACAGGGACACCACACACTAAGGGAAGATCATGTAAAAACAGAGAAAAGACGGCCATCTATGAGCCAAATAGAGAGGCCTCAGAAGAAATAAACCCTGTCAACCTTGATTTCAGACTTCTAACCTCAGGAATTTTTTTTTTTTTTTTTTTGAGAGGCCTCAGAAGAAATAAACCCTGTCAACCTTGATTTCAGACTTCTAACCTCGAGAATTTTAAGAAAATAAATTTCCATTTATTTTAAGGGAAAAACAAGTTTTCCAGAGGGAATTAAAAGGTCATATGTAATGAATGGAATATGAATGCTATTAGAATTCTCAATGGGAATTAGATGCTAAGAGATATTAGAGCAATAGCTGCAATATGCCAAGGAAAATGCTTTTTAACCTAGAACATTTTACACAGTCAAATTGTAAGTGAAATGTGGGAGCAAAAAAGACATTCAGAGGCATGCAAGGATTAGCAATTTGATCCATTTTTTCAGCTCCTTTTCCTTTGGATGTGCCTTGGCCAGCTAAGGAATAGGACTAATTTCCAAAATTGTTTTCAATATTACTGTCTGATATAAGCATTTTAACTTGTTTAAGGCTATTTAATGCTAGGAAGTATAGGAAAATGAACAAGATAAATGAAAATGGTAAATAATAAGACATTAGAAAGTTTTCAAGAAACAAGAATAATATTAGTCTTAAATGTCAACTCACATTTATATAACACTTTACAACTGAAAGATTTCTTTTAAAACATGCTTACATGAACTGAAAGATCATAGAGAAAGCATTTGACCCAGGAACTGACACATGACAGATGCTTATGGTGGGCAGAACCTAAAGTGATCCCAGCAACCCTCACTTCAGGAGTGACACCTTTGTAGAATCTCCTTCCCTTGAGTGAAGGCAGTACCTGTGACTTTGTTCTAAGAGAATATAGCAAAGGTATCGTGATGTCATATATAAGGCCCCTCAGTCTCACAACCTAAATGAGCAATGATCCAAGTAAGGCTGAAAGTGGATTCTTCCACAGTTATGCTTGCAGATGAGAACAGACCCAGCCAATACCTTGACTGCTACCTTGTTAGACCCAAGAAGAGGACTTTGCTAAGCTACCTAAACTCTTGTCTCATAGAAACTGTGGTATATAATAACTCTGTTGTTTGAAGCTGCTAAATTTGTGGTTATTTGTTATGCAGCAAAAGGAAATGAGCACAGTGCTCCACAAATGTTGGTAGATTTGAAATGTAAATGAAGTGAGGACTGCTGTCTAATTGCTTTTTTCCTGACCATGCTCTTGGTGCTGACCTGGTTAACCCCACCCCATCTCATCTGGTTTGGTGCAAGAGATTCTGATAGATCTTACCACCCTTCTTGGGATGATAATGCTGTCTGAGGGAGAGAGCTGCTGGTTTTTCTGCCCAAATTCACCTGTTCCTGATTAATAACACCATCAATTTCTCTTGAGGAACTGTTTTTCCCCAACCTCCAATCATAGAATGCTATACTCTGGATATAGGCAGGAACCAGGCCTGCCTGCCCACTGACTGGCCCAGTTGAGGTCCTGTGACCCAAGCGTGGTCAATTAGGAGTGTTGCTTGTACTATATAGATGTTGAGTGAGAGAAAATCTCTTCTTGGTCGACACTGAAGAGTAATGATGTAATCCTGTGGCTGTGCCCTTCCCTGGACACCCAGTGAGAAGGCCAACATGCAGCTGGAAAGTTTTAATACAAAAAGCAGACTTTTTAAGAACTTGAGACATTAAGTCCATGGCGAATGTTCCAACCTTAGACTTCCCAGATTTGTAGGTCACTTTGAATCAAGTTTTTGTGACTTTCAACCAGAAGTTCAGACTGATACAGTATCTTTTAGACCCTACTTCCTAATGTATTTACCAGTGACCTTACATAATTTCTTCTTGTGCCCAAGTGACAAAAATGTGTTCAGAGTCAGATAATACTATGTTAACTTTATAAGGGTGTATCTCATCAGCCCTACCTCCCAGATCTCTGTGGTTCTAGTCCCCAAAGTTCTTCTTCTCCAAGTCAGTATCTCTGTTGGAAGCATATTACTAAGCTGTTAGGACAGGTTCTCCCTCTAGATGAAGTGTGGCTATTCCATCTAGTTTTTAAAAGTTCATTTCTCTGTTTCTTTCACTATCTTGTCACAATAAAAATCTAGGATTTATTTTTGAATCCCTTGAAATTTTACTTATAGACTTCACCTAGTTAATTATTACATAAAAATCATTACTAAAACAACTCATTCTTTTTTTCCTAGTCTTCAACAGTATATAAGTATTTATAAAAAAATCTTTCAATTGGCTTTAAGAAAACTTTTTAAAGTAATTTTTTATTAATAAACTTAATAAAGCAACAAAATTGAGTGGAGTGTACATAGACTCCTTGTCCCCACACATGAACAACATTCTCCATTATCAACATCCCACACCACAGTGGTACACTCATTGCAATCAACGAACCTACACTGACATCACTATTACCCAAAGTCCTTAACTGGCATTACAGTTCACTCTTGGTATTGCACATTCTATGGGTTTTGGACACAGGTATAATGACATTTATCCACCATTAAAGTATTGTACAAAGTAGTTTCTCTGCCCTAAAATCCTCTGTGCTCCACCTACTCATCATTCCTCTTCACACACCCTGATCCCTGACGACTTCTGATATTTTTACTCTCCCCATGGTTGTGCCTTTTTCAGAGCCACATATTTGGAATCATACAGTATGCAGACTTTTCAGATTGGCTTCTTCACTTAATACATATTTGTTTCCATTATGCCTTTTCATGGCTTGATAACTCACTTCTTTTTAGCACTGAATAATACTCCATTGCTTAAATGTACCACAGTTTCTCTGTTTGCCTAAAGGACATCTTTGTTGCTTCCAAGTTCTGGCAATTATAAGTAAAAGCAGTTGTAAACATCCATGTACAGGTTTTTGTGTGGACATAAATTTTCAACTCATTTGGGCAAATACTAAGGAATACAATATCTGGTTCAAATGGTTGAGAGTGTATTTGTTTTGTAAGAAACTGCCAAACTGTCTACCAAAGTGACTGTTGCAACCCAACCAGCAATGTAGGTTCACATCCTATCAACACTTGGTGTTGTCTGGTTTCTGGATTTTGATGTTTCAGTAGGTGTGTGTGCTATCTTGTTTCATTTGTGATTCTCTGATTTGTTGAAAATCTTTTCATGTGCTTACTCACCATGTTTATCTTCTTTAGGAGGTATGTATTCATTTTTTGAATTGGGTTGTTAATTTTCTTACTGTTGAGTTTTTTAAGGTATCCTTTATATACAGTCTTATGGTTTCACATGAGCAACATGGTTACTACATTCACCCATATTATCACCCCCCCACACATCCCATTGCAGTCACTGTTTATCAGCATTCTTACTGTTGAGTTTTACGAATTCTTTGTATAATTTGGGTAACAGTCCTTTATCATGTGTTTTCTGTAAATATTTTCTTAGTCACTAGTCTTCTCATTCCCTTGATTAAAAGTAAAGGAGCATAGTGATCAAAACCAAAAGTTTCTGTGATATGACTGCCCTTGCACTGTTCACCATGTAAGAACTTATTCACTATGTAAGAACTTGTTCACCATGTAAGAACTTGTTCGTTATGCTTCAGAAGATTGGAGACTATTGAGAAATAGGCTTGGGGTTGATTAATGACTGTGCATTGAGTCCCCTATACAGAATTTTATTGTTGTTAACAACCATTTGATCAATAAATATGAGAGATGCCCTCTCAAAAAAAAAAAAAGGAAAAAAAAGCATAAATATTAACATTCATATATAACTGTTCTATCACATTTCCCTTTTTATATTAAAGTATTATGAGCTCAACATTGGATGCTATACAAGTATCAGTAACTTCACAATCTTAACTCACCTTAGAGCAACAGTTTTACACTAAATGACAGCCTTTGACAGATCTAGGCTGCTGCTAGGGAAAAGGGATTATCACAGGTTCCAAAGCTAGTTTTGCAGTTAGACACTTGTGAGTCAGTGGGAGTAAACAAATTCATGGACTATTTCAAATTACAATGAATAGAAGATCCATCATAGCTTGTTTCTATTAATCTTAAGAAATACATATGTAAGAATACATGTACACATATGTAATAAATGTACCATCATTTTATGTATATATGACAAATGCTTATAAATTTATCATACAGACTTAATTAATTAACAAGATTCCTGTGTTTTGTAATTGGAGAAAGTATAATTCTATAGGTACAAGATGGGCCTAGAAAAATGTGCTTGCTCATTCTAAACCTAGCTCTCACCAACATTCTAGATTTGGGGCAAGTTTATCCTTCCATGCCTTAGTCTGACTGTTACAAAGTGAATAGAGTTTGCCTCTGACCTTTTAAAGAAGATTAAAATAAGTGCAAAGTGCAGTTACAAGAGAAAAAGTGCTCTGTAAGGCCAAGGTATGACTAATAGTAAAATTTTTATAGGTAATGTAGGTGGCTTTAAAAAGGCAACTTTCCCTTATATCTAAATGTTGCTAGATGATTGCTTTATGACAAACAACTGAAGAGATGCCAGGACTCTGAAACAATAAAGTCTCTGGCAGTCTATGATGATTAAGGCCTTGCTTTTATCTGACTTGAGATCATGTTGTCTTAAAAGAGACACATACACTCTCACATACTATAATGATTTATACTTTCTAAACATTTAATTTGGAAAGGCTTATCAAATGCATGTGGGTTTTAGTTTTACCCTAATGAAAAGTATAAAACAAAATGCAATTTCACAAGTGGTCTTAAATAATAGGAAAATGCAATACTGGCAAAAACAAAACACAATGTTCTATTTCTCAGGGGTATGTTATTTCTTGAGCTCCTACAAAGAGGAAACAAATTCACAGATATATACACACCTACTAACATAACTTTGGTCCCACACTCACTCCGAAGGTTTATAGCTTATACTCTACTACATTCTTAAGAAGAGACTGGTCATATATAGAATTAGCAGTACAGGGTAAAATAATGACTTATGGTGTTTTGTCCAGACATTAAGATGTACAATGGGTTGCTGGTAACTGTAATCAGTATAATTTTAATACCAGAAAAGTAAATTATGTTTTCAAACTATTATTTATCAAGCCTTAATAAAATTTCAAGATACATAATAGTTATATATAGGTAATTCAGCAATGAAAATGGGTGTTTCTACTTGTCAGTAACATGGACAACTTTATCAAGTTCTAGTCACTCCTAGATTTGAGGCCTACTTATTTATTTGCTACAATAACAACCCTTTCACGTCTTGCCATTGCAGTACTGTGCCCACTGAAGATCTAACTCCCTAGCAAGTAGGTGTCTTTTTTAAAAAAAAAACTACTGACCCCACTCTCCATAATAAAACATGACTAATAACAAGAGTTAACAACTAAAACCTACAAAATATGAATGCTATGCAATAATTAAAATTTAAAACCAAGTGATCATATTAAGGCCACCAATTTACACTGAAATGTCAAATTCTGTGAAGTATTACCAACCAAAAAAGTGATGCTAGTAAAGAATGGGTCCAATATAATGACTTGGGATAATCTAATGATTAGAAACTCTTTTATTTTTTAAAATACTCAACACAAGAAGAAATCTCCATCCCTTATTTGTACACAGGATCAGATATTTCATCAGTTCAATCTTTGACATCCATGACACAGATTTTTTTGAACCATTAAAATAAACAAAAAAAGTCTTCTCTGCTTAACTGAAAGGATATGGAGTCAAAGTTTCTTAACAAGCTGATAATAATCAGGTTCAGGTCCAAGATGCTGACAGAACTTCTGCGGTATAGAACTAGTGCTTATTCCTCCTCTGTTCCCTGCAGTTTGTCCTTTCTGGTTCAGGAAACACAAACCATTCAAATAAGATGAATCTTCCATACCACCAAGATGGCAAAATGGGCTTAGCGAGATGGGAGCGACATAGACTTTTTAAATACCCTAAATCCTTTTGCTGGCCCAGAATATGGTGGTGGTGGTGAAACGCTGTGTTTCCTAGTCAATGCCACTGCCTGTTCATAAGAAGGTAATCCTGTGTCCTCTGGTGAAGGTGGTGATGGAGAAAAGACAGCCTCCTCAGGTCTTCTGAAAATGATGGAGGAAGCATGCCTGCCCCTCACATATGTGGCTGAAGAACTAAACAGAGAGACAGCATTTACGTCTGGGAAAGGAAGCATTTTTAGGTTAAAAAATCCAACTGACTATTTTGAGAGAAGTTAGATCCAACTTATTAATATAACAAGTTTTATTTTACCTCTAAACTCTGAAAGAGTCTTGGAATAGTGGAAAGATTAGGGGCTTGGATGTCAGGCATGGATATGAAACCAGCTCCTCTCATTTCATAGCTTTGTGAACGAAGGCAATTTACCTAACTCAGTTTCCTACTCTGTTAAATGGGGATGGTAACAGCTACCTCAATAGTCATTTTGTGTGGATTAAGAAAGATGTCATATGCAAAGCATCAAAGCAGTGGCTAGAACACTAAATAAGGACTCAAAACATGCAAATTCTCTTTGTCTCCCACTCCTGAATTAAAACTTTCTCAAAGTATGGTGTGAAACCAAATCCAGGCTTTGTTGAAAGACAGCACAACTCCAAGCCAAGGAAACTGATGTTAGATAACAACAGCAGTTGATGCCTGTCTCCCTCCTCACTTTCCCGCTGCAGTCCTGCTACCTGATCCATCCCTCCTAAACAATATCCCTCAAGTAGCCCTCACTTCACTCTGCTCTGAGGAAGCCTAACCTGCAGCCTACTCCCCCCTGAGTCAAGTTCTAACTCCAGTGCCTCCTTTCCAAAGCCCCCCTTATTCTGGCCTTGCCTTATGTTTTCTAGCTCTCTATTCTTGCCAAGGGGGTCTCTTTATACTCCTCTGCATATGCAATGAATTCTCTGTCCGGTCTCTGTGCTTTCCCTGGTATTGTTCCCTTTCTTATATTATTGTCTTTTCCCCATTCCAATGATCTATGCTCAATGATTTAAAAAAAAAATGGCTTAGCTGAAGTACCACCATTTTCACAAAACTTTGTCAGCTACATCAGTAAATGAAAATTGAAACGGAACACTGGTCTGGTGTTTTGAACCTATGTTTTCTCTTCTCACTTGCAAATTACAAATTATAATTTAAGTATTAGTAAATCAATCTGTTTAGACTGCAAAATTGGCTGCCTATGAAATATTATGCAAAAATTAACCTCCTATAGTTATGGCTAATAAGATATTTACAATTCATAAATAATCCCCAACCTCTAGTCAATATTTACAATGATCTTCCTAATTAGACAGTTTAGCAGACCCAAATACTGTAAACTTTTCCAAACTAAACTATTTGATTTGCGTGTTAGAACACCTGTCCTTTGGAGGTAATAAATAATGAGATCTGAAATTAGAGGGAAGGAAAGAGGAAAACTGCAGACAAGAGAAGACAAGAAAAAGATTCGTGTCAATCTAGGAACTGGATAATCAGCCCTTCAATAGTTGAGGGGTGACTGAGAGCATCTATCAGAACTTTACTTAGACAGCTCAACACAATTCCTCCTCTACCAGAAATCTGGAATGAATTCACGGTAGGCTAGTCACTTGCCACATTCATTAGTTTGTGACAAAAAGTTCTATTTGTTTGCTTATAATAGGAGAGACATGTTTTATTTGAACAAATAAATTATTCTATGTTGACTTCCAAAATTTAAAATAAACAATATAATAATTACATCAAAGTCATTAAATATCTACATAATGATTTCTTACATACACCTTAAATCATTGAAATCAAGTATGTACCAATAACATCTCAAATAAACTGACATCATCATATTATACTTGTTTCCCCTCATAAAATACAGAAACTAAGAAATGAAAAGATCTTGTCTCTCATTTCTTGACATGTTTTTACAAAGAAATGAGAGACAGACGTTTCTGAAAATAATCTTACCTTTTACTCTTTTCTTTCTCAAATACTCCCTCACCCCTCCCTGATCTCTAGCTTTGCAAAATAAGAAAGAGAACATGTAGCTGTAAGAGGCTGTCATTTCCCCATTGTATGTCCATGGCTTCTTTATCATATATTAATTGACCATATATGTTTGGGTTAATGTCTGGACTATCTATCCTGTTCCACTGGTCTTGTGGGTGTGTTCTTGTGCCAGTACCAAATTGTCTTGATTACTGTGGCTTTGTAGTAGAGCTTGAAATTGGGAAGCAAGATCCCCTCTGCTTTATTCTTCCTTCTCAGTAATCTTACTTTTAAAATAAGAGATATTCGGGGTTTTAAATATTTACATTAACACACAGAAAGCATGCATAATAATGGCACCACTTTGCTCCCTGTGTCCTTGAATTCTGCTTCTGACCTCATGCAGGGAAGAAGCTAGGTTTCAGAGAAAAAAGACATAAGAAGATGTAGTAGTGCAGGATGGTAGAAAAATGAAGAAAAACAGGGGAGAAAAGAGAAGGAAATGTCAAACATGAGGACACTGAGTAATGGCTATGCTATCACAGACCTCTAAGTGTCATTGCTAAACACGAGGGCATACATGAACTTTTCTGGAAAAACTATGAATGGGGTGAAAAAGGAGGAAAGATAAAGGGCAAGAAGAGTCTCCAAAGATACATCTTGCTTATTTCTTCATTAACCTGTGAGTTTCTTGGACTCCCCCAAGTTTGTGGAGAAAGCCACAGTGAATAAAATCTTAGTCAAAAGGCCTAGAAAATGGAAAGACTATGCAAATTTCCTATCTGTTCAACAAGAGAAGTTAACAGAAAGTTAATCTCTCACCTCAACAGATATAGTGGCTTAAGAAAAATTAAACAAATTCTTCCATATTTTCTCATTTTTCAAAGTTTTACAGGATTTACAGAGGTCTCTGACAGACTCCTTAGTCCATGCCCGTAACTCATGTTAATGCCTCAGGAAGCTGCTCAGGAATACCAGCTTGGGAATAGAAATACACTTACATTGCTTCATGCCCTCTGCCCTCTTTGCTGGCTTGTCTCCTCTCTGCACCCTTACTGTGGGCATCCTTTAAAGCTCTGAGTCCTGTCATCACACTCAGAGAACTTACCTACTCTTTCAGCTTCAACTTTTATCTCCTAATAGATGAATCCTAATTCTATATCTGTTGCTCTAAACATTCACCTTAAATTTTTATTATAGAAAGTGTTATATAACATAAAATTTGCCATCTTAATAATTTTTAAGTGTACAATACAGTGGTATTAATTATATTTGCAGTGTTGTGAAACCATCACCGCTATCTCCATCACGCTCTTGTCCCCTGGTCACGATCATGAATTTGGTCACATAATTTGGAAGTGTGACTAGGGATATGTAAGCATCAACTTCCAATTGCTTGTCTAGCACCTGGCATTTTTTTTTTAAATAAGGTTATTTCTATAGTCACCCATCCATAATCACTGAAAAGGTAATATAGATAATACAGAAGATAATGACTTTTTATACTAGTAAGGATGTTGAGATTCTATTATGCAAACAATTATGGCCTAATGAATCTTTATTAAGCTGTATTAATATGCTATTTGCCTCAACAGCAACTATTTTATTGTTATTTAAATTAAAATATCAATAAAAATAATTTAATTTAAATACTAGTTACACTATTTCTACTTGGGTAGCTACATGGCCAGACCCGTAAATGCTGTGACTTAGAGTGAACTATGGGACTTCATGCTCTGGAAATATGGGGACACTGGCATCTACCTCCTGCTTAAGAAGGAAATATTGAAAAATCAAGTTAGCCTTTGTGAATTTTCTGGTATTCTCTTGAAGGACATGAGAAATAGCATCATTAAGTTGTTTATGTAAGTGTTAAATTAGGTAACAAACAACTGCCACAGACTAGAGGAGACATGACAACTACATGCAGGGAGTATCCTGATTGGATCGTGGAGAAAAAGAGTACACCAATGGCAAAATAGGTGAAATCTAAATAATGTCTGGAACTGAGTCAATAGTAATGTACCAATGTCAGTTTGTTAGTTTTACAAATGTACAATGTGTGATGCTAACAATGAGGGTGACTGGATGAAGGATGTAATGGGAACTCTGTACAATTTTAGCAACTTCCCTGTAATCTAGAATTATTCCAAAATAAAAAGCTTATTTTTAACAATAGGCAGCCATTAGAATAAAATACCTAGGAATAAACCTAACCAAGGAAGTGAAAGACCTATACCCTGAAAACTGCAAGACACTCTTAAGAGAAATTAAAGAGGATGTTAACAAATGGAAACTCATCCCAGGCTCTTGGCTAGGAAGAATTAATATAGTCAAAATGATCATCCTGCCCAAAGCAATCTGCAGATTCAATGCAATCCCTATCAAAATACAAACAGCATTCTTCAACAAACTGGAACAAATAGTTCTAAAATTCATATGGAACCACAAAAGATCACAAATAGACAAAGCAATCCTGAGAAGGGAGAATAAAGTGGGGGTGATCTTGCTCCTCAACTTCAAGCTCTACTACAAAGCCACAGTAACCAAGACAATTTGGTACTGGCACAAGAACAGACCCACAGACCAGTGGAACAGAATAGAGACTCCAGACATTAACCCAAACATATATGGTCAATTAATACATGATAAAGGAGCCATGGACATACAATGGGGAAATGACAGCCTCTTAAACAGCTGGGGTTGGCAAAACTGGACAGCTACATGTAAGAGAATGAAACTGGATCATTGTCTGACCCCATACACAAAAGTAAATTCAAAATGGATCAAAAACCTGAATGTAAGTCATGAAACCATAAAACTCCTAAAAAAAAAAAATAGACAAAAATCTCTTGGACATAAACATGAGTGACTTCTTAATGAACATATCTCACTGGGCAAGGGAAACAAAAGCAAAAATGAACAAGTAGGACTATATCAAGCTGAAAAGCTTCTGTACAGCAAAGGACACCATCAATAGAACAAAAAGACATCCTACAGTATGGGAGAATATGCACATAAATAACAGATCGAATAAGGGGTTGACATCCAAAATATATAAAGTGCTCACGCACCTCAACAAACAAAAAGCAAACAATCCAATTTAAAAATGGGCAGAGGAGCTGAACAGTTTTCCAAAGAAGAAATTCAGGTGGCCAACAGACACATGAAAAGATGCTCCACATCACTAGTCATCAGAGAAATGCAAATTAAAACCACAATGAGATATCACCTCACACCAGTAAGGATTGCCACCATCCAAAAGACAAACAACAACAAATGTTGGTGAGGATGTGGAGAAGGGAACACTCCTACACTGCTGGTGGGAATGTAAATTAGTTCAACCATTGTGGAAAGCAGTATGGAGGTTCCTCAAGAAGCTCAAAAGAGAAATACCATTTGACCCAGGAATTTACCCTAAGAATGCAGCAGCCCAGTTTGAAAAAGACAGATGCACCCCTATGTTTATCACAGCACTATTTAGAATAGCCAAGAAATGGAAGCAATCTAAATGTCCATCAGTAGATGAATGGATAAAGATATGGTACATAAACACAATGGAATATTATTCAGCCATAAGAAGAAAACAAATCCTACCATTTGCAACAACATGGATGGAGGTAGAGGGTATTATGCTCAGTGAAATAAGCCAGGCAGAGAAAGACAAGTACCAAATGATTTCACTCA